GGACCGTAGTTTTCTCCCCGCCTGGGGCATTTACGTAATTCGTCGGGTGAGCCCGGGGGTGTGAAAATACAGGTGAAGGGGAGCTATAGGCAAACGAGTGCAAATAACAAATACTATTCATTACGGTCAAACGGTATCGCATATTAGCTCTGTGTGTCAGGCACTGGTCAGGTAAAACTCCGGACACTCATAAAATTGTTATTTACCTGTTCTGTTACCTTGGAGCCAAACCCATTCTTGACAGCCTAACGGTCGCTGTAATACTGTGTTACACGCATTGTGAAATTGTATAATCTTGATTATTGTGATGAGAAATTACAGATATATACACAGTGTACATTATCGCATACAAGCCTTCCGTATTTTTGTCATTCCGTAATTTTGATCTACAAATGATACCAAATCGCACAGTTGTGCGGAGCAAAGCGCACAACGGGGCGAACGATTGCTAAATCGCACAGTTGTGCGCACCATGTGTGGACGATGTGCGGACGGTGTGTGAACGATGTATGCACCGTGTGCGCACGCTATTTTTGGTGCGTTGTGTGGTCCCACAACTGTAGTTTCCTCATTTAAACTGTTTTTCCTTTCCATTCTTTGATATAATTAGCACAAACGTTTCGTGATCATCATTTGTAGTTTTTGAGACATTTAGTGATACTGGTCTTTTATGTAAAACCTACTTACATTCATTCAAGAAAGTAGTTGGATTGCCGTTGTCCCCGCACACTCCACCAAACACGTGCATGTCTGCCATAACTTCCTCTGCGTTAGGACATTCGTTTATGATTGTTTCTAAAGAATTTACCCTCACAATAAGTTCTCTGCAACAGGTACCGTGACATTTCCTATTTCACATAATATATCTTAACATACATACATGCATACATACATACATACATACATACATACATACATACATACATACATATAAACATACATACATGCATACATACATACATACATACATACATACATACATACATACATACATACATACATACATATAAACATACATACATACATACATACATACATAAGAATACTTGTACAGTTCAAACTAAGACGGCGAACTGATATATCCAACCCGATAATTTACAATACCTTAACATAATATAAGGGTTTTGACTTTAGTGTCGTAAATAAAATCATTGTTTACCTCTGCCTTGTCAACGAGTCGACATTTTGTCGAAAATCATTGCATTATCATTGATAGTGAATTCATATAGTGTATTAAAAAGAAATGTATGTGGAGAGCGATGTATTTGTCATCTTAAGTGTGGGTCCCTCTCAGCACAACTTCCTCTTTACTTCAAATTGACAATCTGTCAAACTGTGGGTCAGAATTTCACCTAGGAGTTCAACATATTATGATAACAAGAGCGAAATATAATAATATGATAATTTTCATATCTTATAGCCTTTATCAGTGGAATGCCATGTACTCATAACTCATCTTAATTATAGCTGTAACACCGACGAATCATTCGTAGTCATATACGGTTGGGAACAAAATATGATAAAATTAAAAATTATAGTATTTTAATTTCATGTGCTTATCATCCAGGTGACATTACATATAATTAGTATGTTAACTAAATCGGCCTTATTTTATTGATTTATGTCTCGGTTATCAACGGTAATGTCTAAATAATAGCATACATTTATTGATACAGGATTGACGGGGTAGCAGAAAGCCTAGAATCATAACAAAGGAATTATACAATTATAGCATATATATACAATTATTAGTATGCCACCAAATATCAGCTACTATAATTTGTTGTGAATCATCTAAACATATATTGAAACTGTCGTATAATGATGTGATATTGCACATACATTTTTATTTTAAAATTGCCTGATGGATTCAATCTGATTTGTTGATCTGTCCGATTAAATGTTTTTAGTGGAAATTGCCAACAATTTTTTTCTTCAGAAAATGGATGACTTAAACAGTCTAAAGTATTAGCCTATTTGTTATATTTCAAAATGTTTTTAAAACATGCATTTAAATAATTTCATAATTGTTTTGATTTCATTATATAAAAAAAATGGTTACGTTGTTCAACAATTAAGGGTCAGTGAAATCTCAAATGTAGTGTAACGTTTAAGACTTTGGCGGTTGAAAAAACATGTATGTAAGTGTCCAGAATATTACGGAAACTTAATTCAATATATTAGATCAGGCACGTATAAATATACATGTACATAAGGTCGTGGTTACAAGAAACATACCATGTCACCCTTAATGTCAACCACAACAACGCATTTTCTTAATGGTGCAACATGGATAGACAGTTAGTGCCATTTTCTGAACCATTCACTTGATTTACTCCGCAAGTTTTCATTGTTTTATATGCCCACCTCCACCCCTTACTTCCTCCAATTTTAATTACAATCCAAAAATTGGTTTTTGACATTTTGCTATATGCTAGGCCAATTATTTTATATCTAGTCCCACCTATTTTGCCTATAACATTATAATGCTATTAGACTTTGGCATTTAAATAAATGCTCTATTACAACAATAAATGTTTTGTGTCATTTGTGTCATTTTTGGGCAAAAAACAAGCAGAGTTCTCCGGTGTGCTTTAATTTCAAGTAGAACACATAAACACGATGTTATAACGATATTCTAACGTATCGGGTAAGACGTGAAGTTGTATATTTTCCTTATTTAACAGTTACAGTGTAGGCATTGTTAAAATGTCTAACTGTTGGACAAGAAGTGGTCTATTCATATATCCAACGGTTACCCATTGGGTACATGATTGGGCCACGACTTATCCTACAGTTGAATATTTGAACAATGCCAACAGTTGAACAGGGTTAGCGCTATCAAACATCAAAACGTGGAATTCATGTAAACAGTAAAAACTATAACATTGAATGCAATGCTTAATGAGAGTATTCATCAACCTATATGTAAACACATGGGAAATAAAGAAGAAAAACAGAATCCTGTTCAAGTGCTCTTCAAATCGATTAGAATCATTTCAATCTAAGTAAGCTTGACCTGATTTCAATGTTTCAAATACAGGTGTACCCCTAAACAAAAGAAACATTGGACATTTGCTATAACCTGAAATCAAACTAGGGATGTCAATAAAAATGTACACGAAATTAACCTCTGTGAATTTTGATGTTGTTAATAAAAAAAATTAAAAAAAAATTGCATACAAAGTATGTTCAATCACTAAGCTAGGTCACATCATTAATACATACGTTGTTAAATATTATTCATTAAACAATATTTTAATTAAATAAATAAAATTAATTTCATATACTTATTTTCACTTCGGCAAGCTGCTATTCAGACCATTTCTCCTTTATCTTCCTACCAAGTTCATCACTAAGAACAACATCAGTATATGAATCTTGCTGCTCCCTATATATACAAATAGCTATAGGTCATTTTAGTGATAAAAACATCATCCAGTCCGCATCATGCCTGCACTCACATATGTACGAATTACCTTGAACACCTGTGTTGGGTATGTACGTACTGGTTATCAAAATAAATGGTAACACCTCAGGTTTTATTAATGTGCTATAATAAGCATATCTTTCGGAACACCTCTAATTCTGCTCATGTATGCGTGGATGGTTAGTGGGCCAAGTGTGTGAATGAATACGATTTGCAAGTGAAGGTTATCCCACTGTCACTTTCATATAATATCCAACCCACTTCATGGGTACTAAATATATTGTGTGGAGTTTTTAAGTAAGTTAAATCACTTGTTTGGTGTTGAATAAGCCAGTGAATGCACCCTATCTCATTCGGCCTCGACAGGTACTGCTTTCACTGGCTGAGCCGACACCAACTCGTGATTTATCCTTTACGTAAACAATTGCATGCACACGTAATAAAACTTAATCAAATTACCCACCAGGTCAGTCTGACTACTAGAGTGACGGACCTTTCAATGACATAGACATTCAGCTCCTAATGGAGTCATTATAGTATTTTATCTAGCATTATGGCCCATCTCGTCTCCGTTTATGTTTACATTCGTTTTCCTAATCTGCATGTAATTATATCTGGTTTTCACATGGTCATGTCTTTTAACTAGTTAGCCGTTGTCAGGGTCAATTAGTTTGCATGATATATAATCATTGGTATGTTTCACTGGGTTTCAGACCAGGTAGCTCTTACGGTACAGATTTGGACATTAATCTGTTTACCTCATTTTTCTGAGATTCATATTTTCTCTCTATTTTGACCAAGTTCGCTTCTTCTCATTTCTTACAAGTATATACTTCACGTATATACTTCACGTATATCAACAGTAGTCTGTTAGCCGCTGTAGAAGCGAAGCGTTCAAAATTGCAGGCGTTTATTTAGTCCTACACAGTATTATCAAAAACTACAAAAGCTGCCCTTTTCATGTGTTGTTATTACGAGTTTCAAAAGTCGTTATTACGATTTTCGTATGTCGTTATTACGAGAAATAAAGTCGTTATTACGAATTTCGAATGACGTTATAATGAGAAATAAAGTCGTTATTACGAACGTTTGAATGACGTTTTAACGAGAAATAAAGTCGTTATTACGGTTTACGAATGTCGTTATGACGAGAACGTATTACAGTATATTATAAACAGTTCAAATTAAAATAAAGTTGCAAAGCAAATGAGCTAATGGGGCATCGATAACTTGACTCTCACACATGCACAGATAAGTTTATACTGTACAACATACCTTTGATAATCAACTACCAGCCAGATGCATTACACATATCTATAGATACAGATGGAATTACCAGAAACGGTGTCAACTAGATTTACACCCCAGTATCGAGGTGCCCGATACACAATTTAGGAAGTCATATAACAACAAAATAAAAACAACAAAAAGGTTATATTACGAAGGATATAATGTCCTTAATTAAGTAGCTTAAATTTATATATATCCTGAATAATGAGCTCGTGTTCTATGTACAGGTAGATAATAATGTACCCGTTACTGTTACACATATGTGAGATGTGAACTTTATGCCTGTACATATAATGTTCATATACACCTGTACCCGGCCAATACACAGCTAGGACGGTATTTCCGGATTGAATGAAACAAAAAGGTATTTTTAACAGTTTTGTTTTATAAATAAGCAACACACTGTGTGTATATGTGTATGCATGCATTGCTAAACTGGTTAAATGCTATATTAAACCCGTTTGGATGTCTCAAAACCTGGGTTGAAAGTGGGATAAACATGAACATATCAGACTTACGTTCGATAACATGTCTTAACATGTGTCGAAATTCCACAAAGTAAAGCTTGAACGCAATGATTTTAATACCTTTCTTAGACTTGTCATTTGGCGATCTTCATTATTAAATATTTATTATATCACTGTACTTATCTGTACCTGATTAGTCGACTTTAAAATAGTTTTATATGAAAATACCCTTCGTAACACCACTATGTCTAAAAATAGATGTAACTGGAAATCCAGATTTAAACTTTAAACTGAACTGAGACATTTTTTCTGTGATTGTAAATCTGGCATAAAGAACGTTTTATGTTTACCACACAATAAACCCAAATGAATAGACTTAACAAAACAGTTTTGTTAAATGTCGGTTCTTATTCTTGTTCTTGTCAGTTCTACATGCGTCCATTTTATTGAATGTTTCGGTAGTAAAACACAATTACACACACGAATGTGTGTTTTTACATGAATGGTTTCAATATATCTCTTCAAACTGATTTATATTCAGATAACTCAAACTGATTACCTTCGAACAAATGCACTAAATGCTCTTAGCATCTCCCCAATACCGTATGGCTTAAATATTATATTATATTATACATATATATAAATACATATATATAGAAAAAATAAGATTAACGACCGACTAAAAAATTAACTGCTTTCACCCTTCACATGGCTCTGTGAAGGGTGAAAGCAGCTAGATTTTTAGTCGGTCGTTAATCTTATTTTTTTCTATCTTTACTACCTTCACATGGGTATTTAATCCTTTATTATATATATGCATATATACCCAGCATGTAAAGTAGACCTACAGCTTCGAATTCATATTTTGCAACAAACTAAACAATTTTAATAAATCATTATCATTAAAGCATATGAAAAATAAAAAAACTCTTAGTGGGGAATATATAGTCCTATATATAAAAAAAAAATATCTAGTGCGTAACATTTGACTTTTTATGATAAAGTTAAACATATTTCTGATGACATTAAGTGTTTTTACCTTGAACATATAATAGCTTATAGAGATGACTACTTATTGTTACTATAAATCATTGTGTAATGACGTCATAGCTCCAACCTATCCTCATTATATTATTCTATACAATAGACGTTTATTTGTGTATGGCTGCGATGCAGTTTTTGGTGTCGCAGATTATTTCCAGAAATCACCGTGATAAGTGTACATGCTATTTCATAAAAATGTGGACTCATGCCATTGTGAATACTGTTCATATTCCAACATTTATACTGACGTCATTGTGACTACTCCCTGGATTAATGCTGATGTCGTTATGACTATTGTTAACATTCCATCGTTATAAATTGAGGTCAGCATTACTACATGTAATGTTTATATCCACACATTGAGCACGAATACTATTGCTGTTACTCTTTACTGGCCCATTTGTTCACAAGGTGATTATCTTTTATCTTTTGCAAAAACTAAAAGTTTTTATCTTGTATTATGACCACATTATTGGAAGTTGCAAATTATCGTTAAACAGTGATGACGCGGTTCATCCTTTGAGCATATATCCAGGTAGTTTGCTGTTTGGATCAACTGATTCTGAAATATAATCTTTATTTTTTACAACAACTATGAAACAAGTTAAATCAACTTTTTTATCACTCTTGTTTTCCCGGATGGTAGCGCCAAGATTGTGTACTGGTCACTGTAACCAATTCTTACATTTGAGTATTATATAACGAACCTTTTGGTTTATATGCAATTATTGTTAATAGATTTTCCCTTAGGAACGCCATCGATCACTTAATAAGACATTTGTTATATCATCAACTGGTCACTTTCTACGTCATTTACAAAATTACAAAACCTTAGTGATAGAAGTATATGTATATCAAATACTTTGACCATGTCATGAATTCTAACTTAAGTTGATCATGCCATCCTGAAGTTTCTTTTGATTTTAGAGAATTAACACTGGGTCATTCTATAAATTCTTATACAAAATATAAATAAAATAAACACTGAAGTTTATAATGCCGTTTTAAATAGATTGCATTTGCATGTTCACACCAAAATGGTCGTATACCATCGATGAGCCAACCATAATATAGCCCGGTCCATGATAATTCGATAAATACACATGAAAGTCATTTCTAGTCTTTATAAAAATACATATAGTTATTGCAATCTTTATTCAGACATTAGATAGAATTGAAATCGTACGAAAAAAAAAGAATTCACTCAATACAGTGTTTACATTATTTCGATGAGGACTACAACAAGAGATAACTCTAGATTCGAATCTATATAATACAAAAATAGTTTCATCCATTCTGTGTTGAAGTACGGTAGTAATCTATCATATTAAGTGTTACTGTGGTTCCTGTTTTGACCAATACAAATTAAACTCTAACCAACCAATTAGATTTAACCCCTGTTTAAGCATATATACATGCACATTTCAGGTTTTGATAATATGAAAATATCAGCTGTGGTATTGGCGATTCTGTTGTCCTGTGTCTTGAATGCAGAGGCCAAAGATCAAGAAGAAGATGTAAGTTGACTTTAACTAGTACTTTGATGATCGTGTACTTATTCAGTATGTCATATACATATAATAATGTTGTCTAAGGTTTTCATAAAAACTTCTATTGGATTATTTGTAATATGGATATATCCTTTACTGCTATTATTCCCAACAACTTTGTCAATTTTGTATGACCCACCTAACTAATGATCAGCTAGGTGCACTGTAATATTGGTCAACCGTATTTGATATCTTTTGTCGGAGCAAATGATTATAAAACGTGTGTTTTGACGTTTCTTCAAAAACATTTTCCTAGTCGCCTTTTTGTAAATTTGAACAGGAGTTACTCCCCTTGTCACAAAACTACTTACTTGCAGCTTAAACAGGCAAAGGGTACTTGATATGATATCTTATATGAAAAACAACACATATATAGGTAGCAATTTTTTTTTTTATAATTCTAATTTTAGATTCATACTATCTTACTTTCTGCTGTCGATGTGTTCGACTATAAATGCTATTCTGCAATGTGATGAACTGGCAAAGTGACATGATGTTCAGTGTTTGTTTACATTGCACACATTACCGGGGTGTGGAGTTAGCGTTTTGAGGTCTTAAAACACTGAAAAAAAATATATATACACATTAAGTGATATAACCCCTGGCATAAAGATATCGCTACAATAACTATACGCCTGTTTCGTTGGATTTCTATTTCAGTTAAAATCGGACATAGAATACGTAGCGCCCTCTGGTATGAAGTGTTTGAAATGTTATCCGGGTACTTACCTGCTGAGTCACTGTGTCAGCGAAAACACAAATTCTAGTTGCCAACAATGTAAGGACGGGACGTTTAACTCAGACAATAACATTGCACATTGTTGTTATTCTTGCGACCCAACTTGTGAAACCGCTGAATTGGTTCCTGTCGTTAACTGTTCACACACATCAAATTTAAAATGTGAATGTCCAAACGGCCAGTATAATCTATATCCTCATTTGAAAAAAACCCACGCAGTCTGTCAGGAGTTTGGACCCTGTCAACGTGGATATGGTGTTCGCGTCAAAGGTAAAAGCTGTATGCGTTTTTAATTTTCATGTACAAACATTGGTAATTAGTTCAAACACTTTAAAGTAAAGTTGTTTTACTCATTTTTCGTCATGCTATATCCACAAATAATGCATTACAATTGACGTTAGTAAGTAATGGATAATTGTTAAGATGTATTATACGTGCGAGATCGCCTTTACTACATGTACTTGATCAGCTAGAATGATAGTAGTAACGGTATTGCTTGAGACGACAAGCAGATTCCAAAAATAATGACAAAATGATTGTGAAATAATGCTTTTTCATTTTTATTTTTATTTTAACATTATGTTAAATGATATTTATAAGTTATATAACGGAATCATATGTCATTTTATCATATTTCAGGCACCTCTGTCAATAATACAACCTGTAAGAGATGTGATTCGGGAAGAACGTTCTCTTCGACTAATTCATCCTTGGATGAATGTCAGCAATGCACCAAATGTGGACCAGGGGGCTTCCTGACTGACTGTACCTCGATGCAGGATCGGAAGTGTTATATCAAACCCCCTGATCAGAACAGAGGTTCCTCAACAGGTACATTTATATTTGAACATTATGTACAAAACAAATACATGAAGTACGGTAATTAAAGCGAAGTAACTACTTTAATATTCGTTAAACACAGACACAGATTCATTGAAACAAGTAGCACGTTTGTTGTACAATGTAACGAATCATGACGATTTTATGAATGCTGAAAATTTCTTAAAACTCAATATTTTGTTAATGATTTTGTAAACGAAATAGGGAGCAAGGTGATTTTTTCAGCTTGAAAAGAAAAGAGAAACAAAATTGATGGTTTAAACCTTTTAGGATATATCGACGAGGTTTGTATATTTAAAGTATAATTATAACAACTATTCGGTGAAATATATTCTTTTTGGATAACACGAGAAGAACATTCATTTAACGTCCCGCTCAAAATCTTATATTAATATTATTGAAGTCGTTACGATTTCAAATATCACATTTTGATAATTGCGACAAGGGTTTTAAAATGGTAAATACATTTGATATTTTAAACATAAAAGGAAATTTGCTTTATATTTGTTTTGTACTTTCAGATGTAGATACTCCACTGCTGAAAGTAGTCCTACCAGTAGTCCTTGTAATCGTCATAGCATCTGTATTATAGTAACACTATTTCTACGGAAATCAAAGAAATGTTGTTTCCAAGAAGAACAAGGCCAAGAGGATGCTTCTACTTCTAAATGGTACTGACCAACTTCAACAATTTGAAGATAAAATGTCCGACGAGGAGTGAAACATAGAGAGAGATTGTTTTTAAACAGGTCAGGTGGGATTGAGGTATGATTTTCTTACCAGAAAACATTAATCAAAGTCATACTTGTACGTTTTTGCCAGGTGTAAGGGGATCGTTAAACATGTCTTATGTTACTATGTTATTGGCTTGTTTATGTTTGCTGTGATTGTAAGTATACCAAACTGTATAATATAACAATATACTCATTTATAATCTGTCGTTATTGTGTTGAAGTGAATGTGATTTTTTAAAAATACACCCACAGATGACTACAAGATGGTGGGCAAAAACTTGTCTTATTATTATAATTAGTGTTGCCCTCAACTAAAAGTAGAGAAAAGGTTATGAAAATTAAGATTAAACGAAACAATATCGTATGTAAGTTATTTCTGCATCACATACTGTTGGTATACAACTGTTATATATAAGTTGGCCTGAACTCAACTATGAAACCCACCTAATTTAATCTCACTTTAGATGTATATATAAATTCTGTACGAAATACCAAATCAATGACTACGATTGTCGAGAAGTCCCCAAAAATCTAATAAATATTTCAGATAAGAAATGTGCTTAGTTTACAATTAGTAAGCAAACGCACGCCACGTCTGCCATTACTCAGTTGTTGTAAAAGGCAAAATTGTTTCGATTTCGATCGAAATTTATGTTATCATAAACCATTAATTAATTCAATACTGTTAAACAAAAGTTATTAAACAAAACATTATGAATCATTGGGGACAATGTAGTCAAGAGAGCTTCGTCAATCTTTGTCTTCGTGTGCAGTGATAAATATTCATATACTATTGAGATGTAACTTGTTCCTCTTTAAGATGTCAATGGCTGATTAATTTTTAATAAAAAAAAAATCTAAATGAATATCTTTTAAGGATATCCTTTACATATTTTTATACTGCTGTCATAAATATATTGTTTCTTACTTGAATAAAAATAAACATATAAACAGGCTTTAAGCATCGTTGTTTTTGATCGTTTTTCTATTTGTTTTTACCAAAGTTCAACTAAATTATGGAAATTCAAAAAGGTAAGATACCTTGTAAAAGTTGTTTGCAGATAGTCCAAGGGAAATAACACGTGACTGTTAATTGTTCGATATAGAAATTATGTATTATGTTTTATCTTATGTTTATTTCATTTTTATTTCTAAATTAAACAGTGTTTTGTGATACACGTGTCACTCGTATTACATATACGACTGTACCATTATCAATAATGTATAACAGTTCCAACAAATCATCTTTCAGAAGAATTGTTTGACATCTACAAATGTCCGATAAAACGTATTACACCTTTCACATTGAATTACTTTGTAACTTATGTTGCTGACTGATGTTCATTATAATGATAAATTCTCCATCATTCCAGAGAGAAAGAAAGACGAAAATGAAACTGCAGCGAATACCTCCCGGTATACAGTTAGTATGCAGTGTGTTGCAGTGTTGGTAAAGCGATCTCATCCATTACTCACTGTGCTGCTAAATCTTACATACTATAGGGATTTTGAATGGAAACATTGCTAACAGGTTACATATATTTGGGTTGATACATGTTTGGTTTAGTTTCAGTTTAAATTATTCGTAAAGTTTTTACGGAAGTATACAATTTTCTTTCATACGATATATTAGTTCTGTATATAAGTTTTACGTTATTGGCTACTAACTAGCTCCGAAATCCTGTAACTATCTGTGTGATATATCAGTGTCTATTTCCCTCATACAATATATTAACAGCTAGAGGAAGATATCATTGTCTATTTACCTAATACAATATCTCTACAATCTGAGTAAGATAAAATGTTATTAGGCGAGTTACACTGATGAGAAATAATATGAAAAGTACGGCGTAACTGTAACAAGCATCAGACAACAATTGATGTAAATCGGTCTTGGAGGAGGTCAACAAGAACGTGAAAATACACAACGTGAAATAAGGTCAGAACACTGAAAATACGGATTTAAAGAACATGAGAAAAAGAGGCTAAAAAGAAAAGAAAAAACACGAAACCAACATGGTCTTAGTGGAAGACCATAAATCAACGACGACTAAGGTGCATGAAAAACATAACACCTGACGTTTAATCCCTTAAGGGGAACATTTAGAACGCATATATGTTATACCTCTTTATTTCCCTTACAGTCTCCCTACATAAAATACCTTAAGATCTAAAAAATCTCTAAAAAGTTTTACAAACTTCCTGCAGTTAAAAACATCGCACACGACCTCAGGAATGCCTCACGATAAAAATAATAAATAAATAAATATACAACATTTGAGATAGGGCGCTATATCAAATATTGTATATTTATTTATTTATTATTTTTATCGTGAGGCATTCCTGAGGTCGTGTGCGATGCTTTTAACTGTAGGAAGTTTGTAAAACTTTTGAGAGTTAACATGTCTACAAACACCAATTAATGATATCTTTTTTTATTCAAAGATCAGTTAATTAATGTTGATTACTTACGCAACTCGTAATTTATTATTTTTTTTGCAATATAAAACAAATTTTATTATGCTGAATCTGGTAACAGAATAATTACGGTGTAAATGTATAACTCTTAACCAAAGGGAAACAACTCCCTGTTATGGAGCATGACTCGTTCACACAACATTAATGTTATTATATAATAAACGGGTTTCGTGATAAACAAAGGCCACTAGAAGGAAACGATGAAATTGCGTGTCACGAACCTACAATATAGCATATTTTGTCTCAACTACAGTGAAATACGTTTCACAAAAAAATTACGCATCATGGCAAGTCTAAACTACAGTCAAACACTTCCAAATCATATTAATTAAGTCGTACAATTAAATAGCTTACAATTGCAAATCACATAGCTCCACAGTTACAACTCGCATATTTCTATTGTTTTATATATCATAACTCGAATACTTAACGACCGAGTTCACCTATAAATAGTGGACCTTTTTAAAACATGGCAGATCATGTCTCAATACATGTACGTAGCTAATATTGTAAGACTCTTCTGTACACGTTTCTGCACGACAATTGCAAGCTACAACGTTTGAGGTACATGCTGGCAGCACTTGTCGACGCAATAAAGGCTAGGCCAGGTGTTTTGTTGTGGATATCCCACCCCAAAGACGTCTGACAAGATCCTTAAACTTATAAGTTGTGTCATTTAACATATTCGACAATACGACAGTGTAGTGGTATCAACGAATAGGTTGTCATACCAAACAGCCTGTGGGGAACGTACATTGCGACATTTGGAGTCATAAATATGTAGAAATGTAGCAGAAAGCCTAGTATCATAACAAAGGAGTTATACAATTATAGCAATATATATAGTCGATATATAATCATTAGTATGCCACCAAATGTCAGCTACTAGAATTTGTTGCCAAATTGCCCCCTTTTTGCCCCGCCCCTCAGCCCCCTGGGGGGTCAGCCCCATCATGTGTACAATTTTGAATCCGCACCACCTAGGGAGGCTTGCAGTCAAATATGGTTGATTTCAATGGCACAGTTCTACAGATGAAGTCGTTTGTAGCAATATAGCCAAATTGCCCGCTTTTGTCCCCGCCCCTCAGCCCCTTGGGGGGTCAGCCCCATCATTTGTACAATTTTGAATTCCCCCCACCTAGGGATGCTTCCAGTCAAATATGGTTAATATCCACTTCTTAGTTCCAGAGAAGAAGTCGCTTACAGCAATATAGCCAAATTGACCCCTTTTTGCCCCGCTCCTCAGCCCCCTGGGGGGTCAGCCCCATCATTTGTACAATTTTGAATCCGCACCACCTAGGGAGGCTTCCAGTCAAATATGGTTGATTTCAATGGCACAGTTCTACAGATGAAGTCGTTTGTAGCAATATAGCCAAATTGCCCCCTTTTTGCCCCGCTCCTCAGCCCCCTGGGGGGGCAGCCCCATCATTTGTTCAATTTTGAATCCGCACCACCTAGGGCGGCTTCCAGTCAAATATGGTTAATATCCACTTCTTCGTTCCAGAGAAGAAGTCGCTTACAGCAATATAGCCAAATTGACACCTTTTTGCCCCGCCCTCAGCCCCCTTGGGGGTCAGCTCCAACATTTGTACAATTTTGAATCCCTGACACCTAGGGATGCTTCCAATTAAATATGGTTGACATCGAATTCTTATTTCCAGAGAAGAAGTCAATTAAATCAATATAGCCAAATTGACTCCTTTTGGCCACGCCCCTCAGTCCCCTGGGGGGGTCAGCCCAACCATTTGTATAATTTTGAATCCCCACCACCTAGGGATGCTTCCAGTCAAATATGGTTGATATCCATGGCATATTTCTACAGAAGAAGTCGTTTGTAGCAATATAGCCAAATTGACCCCTTTTTGCCCCGCCCTCAGCCCCCTTGGGGGTCAGCTCCAACATTTGTACAATTTTGAATCCCAACAACCTAGGGATGCTTCCGGTCAAATATGGTTGATATCCATGGCATACATGTAGTTCTACAGAAGAAGTCGTTTATAGCCATATAGCCAAATTGCCCCCTTTTTGCCCGCCCCTCAGCCCCCTGGAGGGTCAGCCCCATCATTTGTACAATTTTGAATTCGGACGACGGACGACGGACGGACGGACGGACGGCCGAACGGCCGGACGACGGACGCCACGGTATGGCATAAGCTCACCTTGGTCCTTCGGACCAGGTGAGCTTACTAGTTAGCCATTGTCAGGGTCAATGGTGAGTTTGCATGATATATCATCATTGGTATGTTTCACTGGGTTTCAGACCAGGTAACTCTTACGGTATAGACTTGGACATTAATCTTTTTACCTCATTTTTCAGATATTCGTAATTTCTCTGTTTTTACCAAGTTCGCTTCTTCTTATTTCTTACAAGAATGTACTACAAGTATTTCAACAGTAGTCTGTAGGTCGACGAAGGCATTAGTCGCTGTAGAAGCGAAGCGTTCAAAATTGCAGGCGTTTATTTAGTCCTACACAGTATTATCAAAAACTACGAAAGCCGCCCTTTTCATGTGTTGTTATTACGAGTTTTAAAAGTCGTTATTACGATTTTCGTATGTCGTTATTACGAGAAATAAAGTCGTTATTACGAATTTCGAATGACGTTATAATGAGAAATAAAGTCGTTATTACGAACGTTTGAATGACGTTTTAACGAGAAATAAAGTCGTTATTACGGTTTACGAATGTCGTTATGACGAGAACGTATTACAGTATATTATAAACAGTTCAAATTAAAATAAAGTTGCAAAGCAAATGAGCTAATGGGGCATCGATAACTTGACTCTCACACATGCACAGATAAGTTTATACTGTACAACATACCTTTAATAATCAACTACCAGCCAGATGCATTACACATATCTATAGATACAGATGGAATTACCAGAAACGGTGTCAACTAGATTTACACCCCAGTATCGAGGAGCCCGATACACAATTTAGGAAGTCATATAACAACAAAATAAAAACAACAAAAAGGTTATATTACGAAGGATATAATGTACTTAATTAAGTAGCTTAAATGTATATATATCCTGAATAATGAGCTCGTGTTCTATGTACAGGTAGATAATAATGTATCCGTTACTGTTACACATATGTGAGGTGTGAACTTTATGCCTGTACATATAATGTTCACATACACCTGTACCCGGCCAATACACAGCCGGGACGGTATTTCCGGATAGCATGAAACAAAAAGGTATGTTAAACAGTTTGTTTTATTAATAAGCAACACACTGTGTGTATATGTGTATGTATGTATTGTCAAAATGGTTAAACGATATTTTAAACCCGTTTGGATGTCTCAAAACCTGGGTTGAAAGTGAGATAAACATGAACATATCAGACTTTCGTTTGATAACATCTATAAGTGTTAACATGTGTCGAGATCCCAGAAAGTAAAGCTTGAAAGCAATGATTTTAATATCTTTCTTAGACTTGTCATTTGGCAATCTTCATTATTAAATATTCATTAAATCATTGTACTTATCTATACCTGATTACGCGACTTTAAAAATAGTTTTATATGAAAATACCCTTTGAAAAACCACAATGACTAAAAATAGAAATAACTGGAAATCCCAAAGATTTAAACTGCGAACTGAACTGAGACATTCGTCTGTGATTGTAAATCTACCATATCACAACAACAAAAATCTATTAAATGACATTTATTTTAATAAATTTTATTATATATATATTAACATACATAAATGGATAAGATAACATCTTAGGCCTGTATCAATCTTCTCCATGATGGTGTAATTATGACATTATATATATACATGTTATTAACAAGCTATTTATAGTATTGTATTAAACTCATACACTCAATCAAACATTCATACAATTATCTACTTATACACTCTCTATGCATACTCATGTCAATACTCATTCTCTATATGATAATATTATCTAAACTGACTAGCAACTATCATCAATTATTATTACATGACATTACTATATATAACTTGTTCAAGTCAGTACTTCATAGCGTCTACCATGAATGTTTTGATAGTAAAACACAACTGCACAAACGAATGTCTTTTTGCATGAATAATTTCACTATATCTCTGCCGACTGCTTTATATCGAGATATCTCAAATGTATTACCTTCGAATAAATGGACTAATTGCTGTAAGCATCTCCCAAACATTGTATATCTTAAATAGTTTCCATATTTATTTGCAGCTTGTAAATTGGACCTACAGCTCCGAATTCATATTTTACAACAAACTTAACAATTTTAATAAATCATTATCATTAAAGTATATGAAAAATATAAATTTCTTAGTGAGGAATATAAAGTCTGAGTATACATCGTGTATGTACAAATATCCAGTACGTAACAATATAAAGTTAGTTGACTTTTTGATGATACAGTTGAATATTCTTCTGATGACATTCGATTATTTAACCCACCACCAAATATAAATTGTACTAGTGTTTCCACATTGATCATTATTATTATAGCTTATAAAGATGACTACTTATTGTCCCTATGAAACATTGTGTAATGATGTCGTGGTTTTAACCTATCTCTATACAATAAACGTTTATTTGTTTACGATTGTGATACAGTTTGGTCATGTCGCATTTGTTAGTCGAAAATACACCTCGCATACCCAGATTAATAACTGATATCACCGTGATTAATGTTAATTTCGTCAGAATATGTACTCGTGCCATTGTGACTACTGTTAATATCCCTACATGTATACTGACGTCACTTTGACTACTCCGATGTCGTTATGACTATTGTTAATATTCCATGGTTATAAACTGACGACAGTATTATTAATGTTTATATCCACACATTGAACACGAATATTATTGCCACTACTCTTTACCGGCCCAGTTGTTCACAAGGTGATTATCTTTTATCTTTTAAACACAACCATTCACCGAGTTAAACATTGCAGGTAGCAAATAGTTTAGTTGAGTGAAAAACATGCAAAAACTAAGAGTTTTTATTTTGTATGATGACCACGTTATTGGAGGTTGAATATTATCGTTAAATGCGCTTCATCCTTTGAGCATATATCCAGGTATTTTTCTTACTGCATGCTGTTTAGGTCAACAGATACTACAATATAATTTTTATAACAACTATGAAACAAGTTAAATCAATTTATCTTAATCACTCTTGTTTTCCCGGATTGTAGCGCGAAGATTTTGTACTAATGTCACTGTGACTAATTATTACATTTGAGTCTTGTATAACGAACCTTTTGGTTTATTTGCAATTATTGTTAGTATATTTTCCAATAGGAACGCCATCCAGCACTTAATAGGGCATTTGTTATCTCATCAGCTGATCACTTTTTACGTCATTTACACAATTACACAACCTTAGTGATATAAGTATACCAAATCTTCCACTATGTCATAAATTCAAACTTGTAGGACTTCTTAAGTTGATCATGCCATCCTGATTTTTTTCGAATTTCAGAGAATTAACAATGAGTTATTCTTTATCTTCCTATATCTATGACAGTAAAATATAAATGAATTAACACTAGAGTGTTTACATTATTTCGATGAGAATCAAATGTATCAGCAGGCACAGATAACGTATCATGCAAAGCGTACCACAAAAGGTAACTTTAGATTCTAATCTATATTACACAAAGACATTTGTTCCAGTACAATAGTAATCTATAATATAAAGTGCTACCGTGGTTCCCGAAACTATATCCTGACGGCGTTATTTCTTTAACCAATAAACCTATAACCATCCAATTTGATTTGACCCCTGTTTAAGCATCTATACAGTGGTCAAATTAATGATATATTACTATCATTGCACATTTCAGGTTTTGATAATATGAAAATATCAGCTGTGGTATTGACAATTCTGTTGACATGTGTCCTGAATTCAGAGGCCAAAGATAAAGAAGAAAATGTAAGTTGACGTTAACTAGTACTTTGATGATTTTGTATCCTAATTAACTGTTTTTCACACTAACTTTGTCAATTTTGTGTGAATCACTTAACTAATTATCAGCTAGGTACACTGTAATATTAGTCACCCGTATGTGATATCTTTTGTCGGGGCAAATGATTATAAAACGAGTGTTTTGACGTTCCTAACATATAAATTGGAACAGGAGCTACTCCCCTTGTCACAAAGCGATTTACTTGCAGCTTAAACTGATAATGTAAAAATTATAACAAAACAGAGATATTTGATATGCTATCTTATATGAAAAACAAGACATGCCATGGAACATATATAGGTAGCAAATAGTTTTTTTTTAGATTCTAATTTTAGATTCATACTATCTTACTTTCTGCTGTCGATGTTTTCGACTATAAATGCTATTCTGCAATGTGATAAACTGACAAAGTGACATGATGTTCAGTGTTTGTTTATATTTCACACATTACCAGGGTGTAAAGTTAGCGTGTAGAGGTTTTAAAACACTGATTTATATCTATATAGACAACACGTGATATTACCCCTTGTATAAAGATATCACTACAATACCTATACGCCTGTTTCGTTGGATGTCTATTTCAGTTAAAATCGGACATAGTATACGTAGCGCCCTCTGGTGTGAAGTGTGTGAAATGTTCTCCGGGTACCCACCTCCTGAGCCACTGTGTCAGCGAGAACACAAATTCCCGTTGCCAACTATGTGAGGACGGGACATTCACGTCGGAGTATAACGTTGCAGAGTATTGTGATCCTTGCATGGAATATTGTGAAATCGCTGACTTGGTGCCTGTCGTTAACTGTTCAAACACATCAAATCTAATATGTGAATGTCCAAACGGAAAATTCAATCTATTTCCGCATTTGGACAAATACCATGCAGTCTGCCAGAAGTTTGGTCTATGCGGGCCTGGATATGGTGTTTATGTCAAAGGTAGTAAATATTGCTGTCTTTTCAGTAAGCCGTTTACGTTTTAAGTTTATTTATATAACAAAATCGACAACAAGTAAAAATTACCAAAATCTTTTATAACGAACACTTCTGTTGTCCTTATGTTTAAGTATTTTGGGAAGAATTAATTTATTTTAATTCCATTGAAGGTAAAAAAAATCATTGTTAACGTTGCTACGAACTATTTATCAATTTAACTTTCTAGGGTGAAAATGTAAGTATATGGACCTGCAAATCGAAGTCAGTACATGTATCTCTTGATGGTCTATATAGAAACATATTCAGAAGTTCTTAATTGTTGTATTATTCATGAACTATATATATTTAAATATGAGTTTCCCATTGAACAAGATGGAACATAAGAAAATTATCATATTCACAAAAAATTGATTACAATTGACGTGAACGGAGAAACATTACGATGTATAAAACGTGAGTGATCGCCTTTACGGTCCGATAAACTAGAATACAAGTAAAAACGGATTCCAAACAATTGACAAATTGGTTAATTAATTCAAATTTCATGTGCAATCATAAAAATGACTGCTTTTATTTACACATTATTTTAAATAATGTCTATGAGTTGTACACTCTAATGATTTGTCCTTTTATGATATTTCAGGTACCTCGAAAAATAATACAACCTGTGCTAGATGTGTATCGGGAAAAACATTTTCTTCTACTACTTCCGAATTTGATGAATGCCAACCATGCATAAAGTGTGGCCCAAGGATCATCTTGACTGAGTGTACCTTGACGGAGAACCGGAAGTGTAATCTCGAACCCCCTGTTCAGCATAGAGTTTCATCACCAGGTACGTTTGCATTTGAACATCGTTTATGAATTAGAATGTATACTTGGGATTCTATATTTAACACACAGTAACTGGAGAATGTGTTGGACACGAACTTCGACTTATTTAAATGAACAGGTGGTAATGTACAGTGTAACAAAATATGATGTGTTGCTGTAAAATTTTAAATTCCCAACCTGAAAAAAACCCCGAAATAATACCGCTAACACAAAATTAAACATGAAGTGTGATTTTAAGACATTCTTCTGTCCGTGTACGTAATTTTATTTTCTCTATAGAATGGAGAAAAGTGAATTAAAGAGTAAACAGAGACAGAGAGAGAGAGACAGACAGNAGAGAGAGAGAGAGAGAGAGAGAGAGAGAGAGAGAGAGAGAGAGACTCAAATCAATGAAATTGGGGTGAAATATAAACAAAATGGAAGATTCACTCTTGATAAAGTACGGTACGAGTACAATTGTTCTTTTTTTTAATGTGTTTTTTTCATAATAACAGAGTTGTTAGTATCATCTAATAAGATATATCAGCAATGTTTTCATATTTATTTAGTGGCTTTAATAAATATTCGATTTGTTCTGTTCATGTAGGATATCTGTACAAAATATAGTTTCAGTGTAACTTCCCGTTCATTATTTGACAGTATATTCATGCATTGTATTGTTGAAGTCGCTATAATTTTAATTGCCTCTTTGGATAATTAAAACCATTTTATCTATTTTCTTCAATAAAGTCGACTCTTAAAAATGTCTTATCATCGAAATGTGTAATTGTTTTTATGTACTGTGCTGTACTTTCAGTTGATTGGAAGCTAGTGTTGGCAGTAGTCCTGTCTGTCGCAACTGTACTTATACTAGGAGTTGGTGTTTTACTCATCCTATGGCTTAGGAAATCGAAGAAATGTTGTTTCAATGAAGAGCATGGCCAAGATGCAGTGAGGTTAAATCAATTAACCGATGAAAGGTTTGTGACTTCCAATATCAAATAATGAAAAATTATAATTACTAGATAGGTAAATGTAAAATACATTAGTGTATATGCAATAGCAATGATGTGTATGGTATTAATATTATTACAACTTCCATTGGTTACAGCGTTTTGACTTCAGCATAAATAACTAAATATACGCAGTAAGGAAGTACCTAACCAACCATTCGATTTGTCAATGCTGAAAATTAAACAAAATAAACGTGTTAGTGAACCACATTGGATTTTGTTGATGTATGACACATCAGTAGCACTTAAAGGACAAGGATCGATAACCGATGTCTGACGTGGTTCGAAACATACCAAGAATAGAGCGGAAAGGAGAAAGTGCCTACTAAACAAGTCGTACCGTTAATAGGGATTGGTGTCATATTTGGCCGTTATACGGCCGTCACCAATAAGCAATAGGAGTATTCTACCTGAACAACGATAAACTAGTGCGGACTATTTACTTCGTTCCAGTAGATAACGCGGTATAAAACAATGCTAGGTTTGAATGGCATACTATAAAACAAAGTCTCATCTGGTTGGGTCTGGTCTGCTCTGATCTCACTGGTCAAGTTTAGGGACCAAACCAATAAGACTAGACCAGACCAAACTTAGGGATCAGACCAATGTGATCAAACTAGACTAGACCAATATTTGAGATCTGACCAATGGATCAGAGCAGAGTGACTTAACAAGACCAGAACACGTTTAATAGTATACCGTTTAGAAAGCCACTTAGAACTGAATACATCGATCGCAACACTTGTATTATAAGATATGACCAGCCGTTATCATCTGTTCCTCACTATCTATTATTATTGTCCGTTTTTAGCTCACCTGCAATATCGCAGCGTCCGTCGTCCTTCAACTTTTCCTTTAAAACGCTACTTGTCCTGAACCGCCAGGTAGATTTTGGCTAAATTTGGCCTGGAGCATTCTTAGGCCAAGGGCTCTCAATTTTTTTGGTAAACAGTGGGCGTGGCTTCCCTAGGGGAAGAGAAGCGGGGCCCTATAGGGGAAATAGAAGTAATACCTTTAACTTGTTCTCCTACCATAGGGATTAAGGGATTGTATCCCAATTTGGTCAGGAGAATCCTTGGGACAAGGCACCCCTCGGGACAGAGGAACGGGACCCAATAGGGGAAATAGAGATAAAACCTTTAAAATCCTTCTTCTACCGTGGGGATCAAGGGATTATATCCTAAATATATTCTGGAGGATCCTTGAGCTCAGGAGACTCATTTTAGTGGAAATAGAGGTAAACTTTTAACATCATTCTTCAACCGTCGGGATAAAGGGAGTTCATCCAAATTTGGTCTGAAGCATTCTTTGGCCAAGGGGCTCCATTTGGTATAAACGATGGGTGTGGCATCCCTTTGGGGCAGAGGAGTGGGGCCAAGGAAGGAAAATAGAGGAAAAACGTTTAAAATCCTTCTCTTACTGTAGGGATAAAGGGATTTATTCATATTTGGCCTGTAGCTTCCTTTGAATAAGGGGACTCAAATTTGTATAAATGGTGGGTGTGGCCCCCTTGGGTGTAGAGGGTGGGGCTCAAAAGGAGGTCGTGGCCCCTCTGGGTGCAGAGTGTTTGAGTCCAAAAGGGGGAATTTGAGGTTTGAATCTTTAAAATCCTTCTTCTTCAGTACCATTGGAGGGATAATTTGTAATAAGAATAATTTCCCATGATTGCTTTTTTATCCAAGTGAGCGATACGGGCCCTCTGGGCCTCTTGTTTAAAAAGGCGTTATAGCAGATGTGAAGTTGCTAGATTATAGACACGTGGTTACCATGTACAATCTAAATCGCATTGAATTATCCAGTAGTGTACATTTGTGTAGGTAACTGTAACATACCGTATTCTTGTACCTATTCAGGTCGCCCAACAGATCAGCATATCCCCAATCTGAATACCAAGCCTATGGTGACCAGCGATCAGAGTCGTCTCTCCCTGTAACAGCAACAGGTGTGGCACTATCTCTGCCGTCAACGTCATCTCAACCCAACCAGACTCCGAAGGATAGCTGGGGATCGTCTTTTTATGTTATAAGGCAGAGCGTTGGTGAATATTTGATTACAAACGGACCGTGGGAATTTTTCATTCGGGAGTACTATCAAGGTACCTTTGGACAATTATTCACATTAAAAAATCACAAATAAACCTTGATGATCGTTTTAACGGAAACTTTAATAACTGATTGATGTTTATCAATGAGAAGCGATTTCAAATTCAATATGGGACTTATAAAGGTTCTTTTTGCTATATGATATGCCAACATTGCATTGAAAACAAATGTTTTACTGTAATTTGTTTTATGTTTCATGTATGATCTGGTTGTTAAAGATGTGTTTGATTCGCCAAGAAACATAAATGCAAGCTAACCATTCATAGACGTTTGTTCATCTTTTTTCAGTTACGACGAATAACTCTGATGGAAACGTTGATGCAAAGATAACAGAGATCAAAATAAATCATCCTAACAATGTTAAGGAGCAGATTTATCAGTGTTTGACGTTTATCTGTGAGAGGGGTGCGACACCAGAGAAGTTGATAGAAGCCCTTATACGGAGGGAATTCCACTCCCTCGTGGCAACGTTACGTAGGGATTTCCCTGACGTGTTTAATTCAGGCGAAATTGAAGTATAGGTATATGGAAATTGTTTTCAGTTACCTTCTTAAGAATAGAAAATAAAAATGTCGACTCTTTGGTCCAGTATTATGATCTTCCTCTATCAGGATATCAAAGGGTTCTGTGATTAATGTCCTGTGAACCTGTACTTTAGAAAAAATGAGAACATTAGGGACGATATACTTACAGGTATGTAACCTTTCACGGTTGTATGACTGCTACATTCGACAAATCGACTAAAGGTGAAAAACAAGGCACCATATCATATGGTCTTAAAATGCTTACAGCAACAAGAAGCAATATATTAATTATGCATTAAAACGTTAAGCTATTGAATTCAGGAATTGAAATCACTTTAAAAAGTTATTTGCTAGATTTTCATAGTATGGTTTTGAAGCTGTTCGTTCAATTTTCTGTGTATGATTGTTAAGTCGGAGTGATGAATCTTTCTTATTGTGCCAATGATATGCTAGATTTTGTCAGATAACAAAATGACATTTTTCAAAGCGTTTTGAGTCAAATTAAGTTTGACCTCTCTATGTTGGTTGTGAAAGGGTTTCATCCAGAGGAATTCGTTTCCCAATCTGATCTTGTGTAAATTAAAGACCCTGTCCGACTGCAACGTTTTTTTTTAATATACAGTGACCTCCCTTTTACTTCCGTGTGGTCATAACAGTAGCACAGTTGGACATGAACACTTCCGTTGGCGAGACAGCTCATTTGTTTTTGTATATACAGTAACATTCCTTTCACTTCTGTTAGGACATAACTGTAGCATAGTTTACCATGGATACTTCCGTTGGCGAGATTGGTTACTATCCGAAGTCCATCGTTTGAACCCCGGTCTAGCTCCTACTATTTATTTCCCCACTCAGAACACTGCTGTTGATTATATTTTGTTTATTTCATCTTAATTATTTCTCATAAAAGTCTGTCGAGGTATGATTTTATTATCAGAAATAGTTTTAGTAATACATGTACTTTTTTGCCAGTGGTTAGGGGATCGTAAACCATGACTTATCTTTCTCTGTTTTTGGCTTCATTATGTTTGCAGTGATTATAAATATACCAAATTGTATAATATAACAATATACTCATATATAATCTGTTGTTATTGTGTTGGAGTGAATGTGATTTATTTTTAAATACACCCACAGATGACTACAAGATACTCGATTAAAACTTGTCTTATTATTATAATTAGCATTTTCCTTAACTGAAAGTATAGGAAGGTTATGAAAATTAAGATTAAACGAAACAATAAATGATGTAAATTATTTCTGAATCATATAATGTTGGTATACAATTGTGATATATAAGTTCGTCTCTGGCCATTGTCCTAGACTCAACTATGAAACCCACTTCATTTAATCTCACTTCAAATCTATAAATATAAATTATGTAAGAAATACCAAATCAATAACTACGATGGTCGATGCTACAATTAGTAAGCAAACGCACGCCATGATTCAGTTATTATAACAGGCAAAATTGTTTAGATTTCGATCGAAATTTATGTTATCATGAAATATTAATTGTGAAAAAACGAAGTCAAGATCTTCGTCAATCTTCGTCTTCGTGTGCGGTGATAAATATTCATATACTATTGAGATGTAACGTATTCCTCTTTAAGATGTCAACGATTGACATTGGACATGCGTATAGCAATATATAGTTTAAAGCAATTCATATTCTTTTGGATCTGCGTCTGAATTTTCAATAACAAATCTAAATGAATATCTTTTAATGATATCCTTAATATATTGTTATACTACTGTAATAATTATATATTTCTTACTTTGATAAAAAATAAATATACAAACAGGTTTGATGAATTGTTGTTTTTGATCGTTTATCTGGATTATTTACCTAAGTTCATCATGTTTATGGAAGTCAAAATGTTAAAATACATTGTAAAATTTGTTTGCAGATAGTCCAAGGGAAATAACACGGGATTGTTAATTGTTCGGTATAGAAATTATGTAAAAAAAAATATGTTTAATCTTATGTTCATTTCATTTTTGTTTCTAAATTAAACAGTGCTTTGTGATAAACGTGGCACTTATGTATACCTATATACGACTGCACTTTTACCAGAACTGTATAAGAGTTCCAACAAAACATTTTTCAGAAGAGTTGTTTGAAATGTACAAATGTCCGAAAAAACACCGAGAATTTTTCGCCTTTTCAAACACCAAAACATACAACACTTCGCCCAGTAATAATTTCGCCTTTCACATTTAATTACTTTGTAACTTATGTTGCTGACTGATGTTCATTGTAATGATAAATTCTCCATCATTCCAGAGAACAAGAAAGACGAAAATGAAACTGCAGCAAATACTTCTCGGTATACAGTTAGTATGCAGTGTGTTGCAGTGTTGGCAAAGCGATCTCATCCATTACTCACTGTGCTGCTAAATCTTACATACTATAGTGGTTTTGAACGGGGAAACATTGCTAACAGGTCACATATATTTGGGTTGATAAATGTTTGGTTGAGTATCAGATTAAAATATTCTAAAAATTAAGAACTTAATTTATAAGTTGTTTCAGAAGTATACAATTTTCCTTCATACGATATATTAGTATTGTACTTAAGATTTACGTTATTGGCTACTAACTAGCTCCGATATTCTGTAACTATTTGTATGATATATCAGTGTCCATTTCCCTCATACAATATCTTAACAACCAGAGGATGGTATCATTGTTTATTCACCTCATACAATGTCTTTACAATCTGAGTAAGTTAAAATGTTATTAGGCGAGTAACACTGATGACGAAATAGTATGAAAAATACGGTGAAACAGTAACAGTAAATCAGGAGGCTTCAGACAACATCTAATGTAAATCAGGAGGCTTCAAACAACATCTAATGTAAATCAGGAGGCTTCAGCCAAAATCTAATGTAAATCCGGAGGCTTCAGACAACATCTAATGTAAATCAGGAGGCTTCAAACAACATCTAATGTAAATCAGGAGGCTTCAGCCAAAATCTAATGTAAATCCGGAGGCTTCAGACAACATCTAATGTAAATCAGGAGGCTTCAAACAACATCTAATGTAAATCAGGAGGCTTCAGACAACATCTAATGTAAATCCGGAGGCTTCAGACAACATCTAATGTAAATCAGGAGGCTTCAAACAACATCTAATGTAAATCAGGAGGCTTCAGACAACATCTAATGTAAATCCGGAGGCTTCAGACAACATCTAATGTAAATCAGGAGGCTTCAAACAACATCTAATGTAAATCAGGAGGCTTCAGACAACATCTAATGTAAATCCGGAGGCTTCAGACAACATCTAATGTAAATCAGGAGGCTTCAAACAACATCTAATGTAAATCAGGAGGCTTCAGACAACATCTAATGTAAATCCGGAGGCTTCAGACAACATCTAATGTAAATCAGGAGGCTTCAAACAACATCTAATGTAAATCAGGAGGCTTCAGACAACATCTAATGTAAATCCGGAGGCTTCAGACAACATCTAATGTAAATCAGGAGGCTTCAAACAACATCTAATGTAAATCAGGAGGCTTCAGACAACATCTAATGTAAATCCGGAGGCTTCAGACAACATCTAATGTAAATCCGGAGGCTTCAGACAACATCTAATGTAAATCAGGAGGCTTCAGACAACATCTAATGTAAATCAGGAGGCTTCAGACAACATCTAATGTAAATCAGGAGGCTTCAGACAACATCTAATGTAAATCAGGAGGCTTCAGACAACATCTAATGTAAATCAGGAGGCTTCAGACAACATCTAATGTAAATCAGGAGGCTTCAGACAACATCTAATGTAAATCAGGAGGCTTCAGACAACATCTAATGTAAATCAGGAGGCTTCAGACAACATCTAATGTAAATCAGGAGGCTTCAGACAACATCTAATGTAAATCAGGAGGCTTCAGACAACATCTAATGTAAATCAGGAGGCTTCAGACAACATCTAATGTAAATCAGGAGGCTTCAGACAACATCTAATGTAAATCAGGAGGCTTCAGACAACATCTAATGTAAATCAGGAGGCTTCAGACAACATCTAATGTAAATCAGGAGGCTTCAGACAACATCTAATGTAAATCAGGAGGCTTCAGACAACATCTAATGTAAATCAGGAGGCTTCAGACAACATCTAATGTAAATCAGGAGGCTTCAGACAACATCTAATGTAAATCAGGAGGCTTCAGACAACATCTAATGTAAATCCGGAGGCTTCAGACAACATCTAATGTAAATCAGGAGGCTTCAGACAACATCTAATGTAAATTCGGAGGCTTCAGACAACATATAATGTAAATTCGGAGGCTTCAGACAACATCTAATGTAAATCCGGAGGCTTCAGACAACATCTAATGTAGATCAGGAGGCTTCAGACAACATCTAATGTAAATCGGAGGCTTCAGACAACATATAATGTAAATCCGGAGGCTTCAGACAACATCTAATGTAAATCAGGAGGCTTCAGACAACATCTAATGTAAATTCGGAGGCTTCAGACAACATCTAATGTTAACCGGTCTTGGGATCGCAAGAACGCAAAAATACACAACGTGAAATCAGCTCAGAACACTAAAAGTACTGATTTAAAGGACTTGAATAAAGAGTTTAAAAGGGGGAAAAAATACATGGTCTTTGTGGAAGAACATAAATCAACGACGACACTAAGGTGCATGAAAAACACAACAGCAGACGTTTAATCCGTTTAGGGGGAACATTTAGAACGCATATATGTTATACCTCCTTCTTTCCCTTACAGTCTCCCTACATAAAATACCTTAAGATCTAAACATCTCTCAAAAGTTTATAATCTCCCTACAGTTAGAAACATCGCAAACGACGTCAGGAATGTCTCACGATAAAGTTAACATGTCTACAAACACCGATTAATGATACCATTTTTTATTCAAAGATCAGTTAATTAATGTTGATTACATATACAACTCGTAATTTATTAACATTTTTGCAATATAAAACAAAGTTTATTATGTTGATTCTGGTAACAGAATACTAACGGTGTAAATCGCTCGACCAAATATATAACTCTCAACCAAACGGAAACAACTCCCTGTTATGAAGCATGAATCGTACCCAAAACATTAATGTTATAACATGATAAACGGGTTTGGAGATTAACAAAGACGACTACAGGGAAACGATGAAATTGCGTGTCATGAAACTACAATATCACATACTTTGTCTGAACTACAGTGAAATACGTTTCACAAAAAATGTACACACCATGGCAAGTAAGTCTAAACTACAGTAAAACAATTCCAAAGCATATCAATTAAGTCGTACAATTAAATAGCTTACAAATGCAAATCACATAACTCCACATATTTCTATTGTTTTATATCTCATAACTCGTAAACTGGAAGACCGAGCTGACCTATAAATAGTTGACCTAACTAAAAAAAATGGCAGATCATGTCTCAATACGTAGTTACAGTTATAAGACTCTTCGGTACACGTGTCTGCACGTTAGGCCCAGTTGCACAATGTATAAACACGGCTTCTTTTCAATTGTGTACGTAAACAATATTTGTCTCGGTTGTTCATGCGTGTCTGTGGAATAGTCTTATGTGTATATACACAATACTACACAATAGTCATTTTCATATTGAAAGGTGTCCGAAAAAATATTTTGGTGTAAGTTATCAGATGATGATGATGGATAAGCATATTTTGTACATAGTTTGACTTCATAATTAATAACTCTATTTCCGTAATTTTGATGGAACGGAGAGACAGCTTATTGACTATCAAAGGGTTTGACACTAAAATAGAAAATCATCTGTTCCTGAGTGTAATTTGATATCCTGCTTCTGTGATCGTTCTGTGACAATGAAGTACACAAATAATAATACACTATTTTACCAATAAGTATGTTTCATTAAACATATTTCTTATCGTATATTGGATATTGTGTCTTTTGTATTAAAATGGATGTAGAATAAAAACCTATATACCGATGATTTAGTATCCTTGTATTTGACATCCACGTTCGTATTACCTTGGATATAGCATCATGATGGATATACCATTTTTTAAATTATTTATTAGTAATATTTCCAATTTATGTACCTGAAATATGACTTCCGCAAGACCTCATGAAGAGTAAATGTTTTGATTTTTGTCGCATTAATTTCCAATCGCATAGTTGGCATTTAACCCTCTATAATAAAAATGTCCACAGCCTTAAGAGAGATGCTTTTAGTGGAAATCGTTTTCGTGACCTTCTGTTTTATGACTAAGGCACCCACACAGAGCTGTCTTAAATAAACTCGACACTGCAAATAGTCTTGGTGTCTAAAACAATAGATTTAAATAGGTATTATTTCTTTTGTACATCATCCTTGACATTTTCAAACGTTTTCTTCATATAATATAACGATATAGACTTATGGTGGACATATGATATAACGATATAGACTTATGGTGGACATATGATATAACGATATAGACTTATGGTGGACATATGGTATAACGATATAGACTTATGGTGGACATATGGTATAACGATATAGACTTATGGTGGACATATGGTATAACGATATAGACTTATGGTGGACATATGGTATAACGATATAGACTTATGGTGGACATATGGTATAACGATATAGACTTATGGTGGACATATGGTATAACGATATAGACTTATGGTGGACATATGGTATAACGATATAGACTTATGGTGGACATATGGTATAACGATATAGACTTATGGTGGACATATGGTATAACGATATAGACTTATGGTGGACATATGGTATAACGATATAGACTTATGGTGGACATATGGTAT